GTTAAATTTTGCTATTTTGACTGGGGTGAGATGATATCTCATAGTTGTTTTAATTTGCATCTCTCTTAGGGCTAGGGAACTATTATGTAATATTAAATGATGACATCACATTATGTAGGCAGTGTGAAGTTATACAATACTTTTGGCTTCAAAAGCTCATTGGTTAATTGAACTGACAGGAAGACATGAAGGACTTATTTGTGTAATTGCCCATTTGTGTTTTTACTGAAAGACTCATCTTTTTACGTCTATATGTTAATATTAGAAATTATTATGTTTTACAAATTGTTATCTCTTTGTTATAGGATTTCCTGAGAAGATAACAATGAAGCAGAGTTATCACCTACTTGGAAATAGTCTCAATGTACATATAGTAGCCAAACTAATAAAGATCCTGTGTGAATAATTTTTAAATATGAAAAATGGTCATGGTGTTCCCTCATGTTCAATTAGTAGTTCTGAAACTCTTTTACTATAGATTTTGGTATAGTTAAACAAAATTATTTAATGCCTTTAATAAGCAGTTCAAAGTTTTCCATTAAAAAATATCATTGTTTGCTTAAATTTATATTACTGTACCATGCAACTGAAAATTATTGTTTGTGTGAAATTGTTGTATATGTAAGATATTCTTTTTATAATATAACATAGACATTTGGAACATTTGAATTTTAATGTCTACCTGTGTATTTTAGAAAATGTTAACAAGCATGCCCCTGAAGAGTTTTGAGTTTTTGTTCTGTTAATCATAAAGAAGTCGCTTTTGTGGATCCCATCATTTTACTTTTTTAATTAAAATATTTTTTCTAATTTTAACATAATCTTCTAGATTTTTTAAAATGTTGACTATTTTGCTTAATGCTAATCCTTTTTTATTTTCTATGGCTTTATTTAAACAAAAGTATTTAATATTTTGAACGTTATCATCATTAAGTTTAAACAACACTCTGAAGAAAATATGGGGACAAAAGGTCATCAGCTCTTACAAGAGCCCCCCCCCCCGTATATTTAGGAACAAATTATCTATGATTATCTTTTCTTCTTTCCCCAGATGAGGAAGAAAACTTTTGTTCCCACTTTGTATGTGTGTGCTTCCCTTCTTTTATGATTGGTACTTATTCTCTCTCTCCTCTC